GCAAGGGCTGAACACGGCGTTCGACAGACTGCGCAGGGTGGTGCCGCAGTGGGGCCAGGACAAGAAGCTGTCCAAGTACGAGACGCTGCAGATGGCGCTCAGCTACATCGTGGCGCTCACGCGCATCCTGGCCGAGGCCGAACGGGACTGGGTGGGGCTGCGCTGCGAGCAGCGGGGTAGAGAACACCCCTACCTCTCCTTTCCGGGTGCCAGGCTGCAGGAGCCTGAGCCCTATGGCCAGAGGCTCTTCGGCTTCCAGCCCGAGCCCTTCCCCATGGCCAGCTAAGCCATAGGGTTTTTAGGGTGGCCTGCGAATCTTAGGGAGAGAAATCAGTCGCCTTTCTGGTTAATTTCCTTCGCTCTTCAGACCCGGGGATGGATTCATTTTATTGCCCTCCTTCCTCCGCTTTTCTTGTGTTTTGTAGATATCATGAATGGACATTGTGAATGACTTTGGGCTGCTGTGAAAATAATGCCCTACCACTTTTAGCTTAAGACGGGGCGGGCCTGGGGGGGGTCTAGCTGAGTTGGTAGAGTGCTTGCCTAGCATGCACAAAGGCGTGGGTTCGTGCCCGAGCACTGCTTAGGCAGAGGTTGGTGATCACGCCTGTAATCCTAGCATCATTCGGGAGGGGGAGGAATATACATGGGACCCTGTCTCAAAGAAAACTCCTTTATTGATTGGAATTGGATTGCATTAGACTCATCCTAAGTCATCGGACAAATAGCTGCCTTCTTAAACTTTGCAAGTGAAGTTATATTAAGTGTCTTGCGTATGTTCAGGGCAGCTACTTTGTGTAAACTCATTTATGCTTCGTATATTGTGTGTGCATGCGTCAGGTAGAGTCGGATTTTTATTTTCGGGGGGGAGGGGCCTGGAAGAGTACTTGAACATGAGTGCTCTGTATTTTTTTAACTGTGGACACATTAAAATATAGATTTTGTAAAAATGCAACTGCTGTGAGTGTGTTTTAAACTTACATGTTTACTAGATTTCTAGAAACACTCATGACCTGTTGGTGGGGGAGTGATGCTGAGGGCTTCCCCGGTATAGACAGGGTGTGTTTTAGCCCACCACATCTGGTGTGGTGGCATCACCATCATGGCTTGTCAGAAGAGAGCAAGCAATGCATGTAGAATTGGTTTGAACTGGTTTCACAAGTTTGATTAACCACGAACCAACCAACCCTTCATCTAGAGGGGCTGTGGTCAACAGCATGCGTGAATTTGGGAAATACCTGTGCAGAGCTAGGAAAAGCAGGACCCCGAAGTTATCCGTGCACGAGGAGCTTCTCACATGCCAGCAAAAGCAACAGCCCCTAAATACTTTTGATTATGAGTTCCAAAGCCCAACTAGTACACAGTTTTGCGTATTAGATAACTCTGATTAGATAATTAGGACATTGCTATCAAAATTCTTTTCCTAGCTTAGTAGGAGCTGGGGATGTAGCTAGGACCTACCTAGCCAGGCCTTGGGTTCTAGTCTCACTGTGGTATGAAGTGACAGTCTTGGCACTCAGGAGGTAGGGGGAGGAGGGGCAGGAGTTCCCAGTCATCTTTGGCCACATAGTGAGTTTGAGACCAACCTGAGCTACATAAGACTCTGTCTTAAAAAGAAAAATAAAATCCATTGAGGGAACATGTCTATCCTAAAGAAAAGCAAAAACAAAACAAAAACAAAACGTCTGGTTATTGTGGTTTCCGACTGGAAGACTGTGGCCAAGCGCGGGGGTGGGGGGACTCCCTTTCATCTGCTGCTCATTAATAAGAAACCAATGATGACTCCAGACTTTGATTCTTTACTGCTGATTACAGAGTAAAATGCTTAACCTACTGACTCCACACTCTTAGAAGATGCTATATTTTAACACACACACACACACACACACACACACACATACACACACACCAAGAAAAACTAAAAAAAAAAATGTAGCTAGGTGCAGTGGCCTGTGATCCCAGCACTTGGGAGGCTAGGCTGAAGCTTGAGGAGGCAGAGTTTAAGGCTAGCCTGTACTACTTAGTGAGAACCAAGTCAGCCTGGGCTACAGAGCAAGACTGTCTCAAAAATAAAATAAAACAAAATGTACACGCATCTCAGCCTATCCGTTTTAACAAAAGGCTGTGTGTTTGCAGTTCTCTGCAAGCGTCGAGAATGCTAACTAGTATAATTAGGCAGAAATCAGAGGTGAACGTGTTTTTAACTAATATGCAATTTTTTTGCACTGTACAGATTTTTTATTTAAAAAAAACCCACGATATTAACAACTTTTTAAGCACACTGATGAGCACTGCATTGTCAGGTTTGTAAGGTGCTGTGGTCACTGACTCTCTGAAACACCGATCCACTTCAAGCAAGAAAAGGCAAACTTGTGGCAGAAAGGGCTTCCACAAACACCGGCAGAGCCCAGGTGACCGGTCACCTTAATGGTAAGGTACAAAGTCTTTCAGCTCAGTCGCTAGTGGAGGTACTGCCCATTCAGGTTACCCAAGGACTCTCAGGGGGCTGGAGTCAATTCTGAGGGAATTCGCCTATGTTTTTGGTTTCTCTAGTGTGTGTGTGGGGGGGGGGGGGGACAGACCCTTGGCCCCTTGACCTTTCTTTGCCTGCCTCAGACCCTTTGCCTGCTGGAGTGAACTGGGCAAAAAACTTGTTTTCCTGTGCCTGCAGCTGCTCTGAGCACGAGACCCTCACGAGTTCCTGATGGCCGGGGAGTGAATTCTGGTGGGTTTTACAGCTGGAAATCCCAAGAGCTGGGGTGTGGCTATCAGTTAAGGATCCTTACAGAAGCTTCCCTGGAGCACAGTAAAGCTGGCATTCTTGTTTCAAGGATGACCGGTGTCCCTGTTTCTCTGTCAGTGTGTACGTTTGTGTGTTTAATCTCCAGCCTAGTTCCCGGCTCGCTTGTACCGTAGTGGTGGTACCGTACTGTAGCGCAAACCGTACTGTAGCACATACTATACCTTAGCGCCTGCACGGCGCTTTACACTCTAGAAGCTTCGAGACACTTCTAGCCTTTCACACATGCGCACACGCAAACCTCTCCAGTCATCCCCTTGATTAGAGACGAAGGACGTCAGAAAGCAACTGCTTTTGCGAATGAAGCTATCTGTGACCTCCGAGGACTCTCGGAAAGGGCTGGTGCGATGGCTCAGAGGGAAAAGGCTCTGCCCCACGCTGATGACCTGTGTCCAGTCCCTGGGATGCACGCGGTGGAAGAAGAGCATTGACTCCTGAAAATCGCTCTCTGCCCTCCGTCTCAATGCTGTAGTACACGCGTCCCTCGCCAATAAGTTTTAAGAATTTTGTTTTTGTCTGTTGTTTTTTGTCTTCTGTTTGTTGTTTTTGTCTTTTGTTTTTCGATGCAGAAGGTTTCTCTGTAGCTTTGGAGTCTGTCCTGGAACTAGCTCTTGTAGACCAGGCTTGTCTCGAACTCACAGAGATCCACCTGCCTCTGCCTCCTGAGTGCTGGGATTAAAGGCGTGTGCTACCATCACCCCGCTTGAGAAATTATTTTAAGGAAGACTTTCAACCATTCGTGCTGTGGAGTTCATTTGGAAGGCTTCATTGGAATACCAAGCCAAGACTCCTGGCGTGAGACTGGCGTGATCACTGTGGCGAATGATGCTCAGAGACAGGCTTTGGGAAGGGGCAAAAAGAGATTAGTGCCGGCAGCGAGCATTTACAGAGCACTGGGGGTGGATACCTGGGAAGGTAAATGCAGAATGGAGCTGGGCAGCTACAGAAGGACCCAGACACTCTAGCCCGACATATCATAGACACAAAAGGGGAGGAAATGGACGTTCTCAGCTCTTTTGGTTGCTTTCCCTGACTTGCAGTCCTTGATTCTAGCTTATTCTAGAGCAACGGTCGTGGCTTCTTTGGCAAACCTCTGTCTCCAAAAACGTTTATATTACAATTCATGACAGTAGCAAAATTATAGTTATGAAGTAGCAACAAAATCATTTTGTGACGGGGGTGGGGTGGGGCTCACCACAACGTGTTGAACTGTATCAAAGGGCCACGGCATTAGGAAGCCTGAGAACCACGGCGGCGGTAAAGAGACAGACATTTACAATTCAGTTATGAATTTGACAGGCTGTCTAGGTGATAAGTATGCAAGTATTTACTCTGTGAGTGTGTATGTGCATGACAACTTGGCTGCAATTGGCTCTCTCCTTCACTCATGAGAGTCCCCAGGGATCGAACTCAGGTCATTCAGTCTTGGCTGCAAATGCCTTTGCTCTCTGAACTATTGTGATATTTATTTGTGTCCTAATAAAAAAAAAGCTTGCATGAAGAGCAGAGCTAAGCCACTAGAGGCCAGGGAGTGGTTGCAAACACCTTTAATCCCAGAATTCAAACCACTCTGCAGCTGTGGGAGGTTGAATCCAGCCCACACCAAGGTGACCCTAGCCCTTGGGAGTCACACGCCCTTAATGCCAGCACTAGGGAGGTGGAGACAGGAGTGATATGGCTGGGTGGGGAAAGGTATATAAGCCTGGAGAGGAACTCAGTGTAGTCTGAGGTTTGGTGGAGACACTGCAATCTACAGTCGCACTGAGGATAGGATCGCACTTTTGTTTGTCTGAGCCTTGGCAGAGGTAAGAACTCTCTAGTGGCTTGGCTGCTTTGTTTTTCTGATCTTCAGCTTGAACTCCAACATCTGTCTCTGGGTTTTTATTAATCGTGCTACACTGAGCCATCTTGCCAGCCTTATTTATTGTGCGACAAGACTTTTCTTGCTGAGATGCAACATGCCCATCTAGTCACCCCAGGTACGGAGGCCACAGCAAGCCAAAGTTCCTTTCAGGAGTCTGGGTGAGGAGTTACTACAGGCACAGACGACTCAAAGACAGCCGCAGCACCTAAGCACACCCTGGCATTGGGTGACAGCTCCCAAGAGCTGGGAACCTGGAGCACATGCTGCACAGTCTGCAGGTAGCTCCCCAGGTTGCAGAGGGTCCTTCCAGGTGCTTCAGTTGGTCTGAGCATCTTCCAGGCAGCTGGTCTGCTCTCAGAGTCTTCTTTGCAGTTTAGCTTGTCTGGGAGTGCCTCTCACTGACTGCATTGTCTAATCCTGGGAAGGAGGGGCTTAAGGACTCAGGTCAGTTTCTGCGCTCTATCTGTGAACTCTTGGATGGCTTGCAGTGAGTTTTGGGATCAAATCACGGCAAGAAAAGATTTTTTTCCCCCTCATTCTAAGCTGCTCATTGGACTCACCTGAGAAACTTTAAAAATTGTGGATGCCAAAGGGAGAGCGAGAGGCAGAGACAGGGCGATCAGTTCAGGGATTACTCAAGACTGTCTAAAACACACGAATAAAAACTCAAACCCAAACCATGGACACCTGTCTCACCACCCAGGCGCTTAGTTACTTAATTGATCTGGAGTGTAGACTGGGTGTTGGCAAGTGTGTGTGTATAATTTATTTTTTTTATTTTATGTGTATGGGTGTTTTATATGTCTTTGTGAAGGTGTCAGATCCCTGGAACTGGCATTACACACAGTCATGAGCTGTCATGTGAGTACTGGAAACTGAACCTGGGTGGGCTCCCTGCAAGAACAGCCAGTGCTCTTAACCACTGAGCCATCTCTCCAGACTATATATATATATGTATATATATACACATATATACATATATATTTAAATTTTATCTTATTGATATTTATTGAGCTCTACATTTTTCTCTGCTCCCCTCCCTGCTTCTCCCCTCCCCCTTCAATCCTCCCCCAAGGTCCCCATGCTCCCAATTTACTCAGTAGATCTTGTCTTTTTCTACTTTCTACTTCCCATGTAGATTAGATGTATGTAAGTCTCTCTTAGTGTCCGTATTGTTGCCTAAGTTCTCTGGGATTGTGGTTTGTGGGCTGGCTTTCTTTGCTTTATGTTTTAAAACCACCTATGAGTGAGTCCATGTGATAATTGTCTTTCTGTCTCTGAGTTACCTCACTCAAAATAATGTTTTCTAGCTCCATCCATTTTCCTGCAAACCTCAAGCTGTCGTTTTTTTTTCTGCTGTGTAGTACTCCATTGTGTAAATGTACCACACTTTCCTTATCCATTCTTCGATCGAGGGGCATTTAGGTTGTTTCCAGATTCTGGCTATGACAAACAAAGCTGCTATGAACATAGTTGAGCACATGTCCTTGTGGCACAGTTGAGCATCCAAAAGTGGTATTACTGGGTCTTGAGGAGGTTGTTTCCTAATTTTCTGAGAAATCCCATATAAATATTTAAAGACAAGGTTGTACTGTATAGCATTGGAGCTATACAGTAGATCTATATTGAGCTCCAGATCTATATAGCTCAATATGTAGACCAGGCTGGACTCGAACTGTCAAGAGATCCATCTGCCTCTGCTCCTTAAGCCAGATTGAGCAAAGACTTACAAAATGGAAGATGGTCGGGTGGTGGTGGCACACGCCTTTAATCCCAGCACTCGGGAGCTTTAATCCCAGCACTATAAGAGCTAGACCCAGGACAGGCTCCAAAGCAACACAGAGAAACCCTGTCTCGAAAAACCAAAAATAAAAAACGGAAGACGGTGGATTTGTTTGTGGGTGTGCTACAAATACATCCACAGAAATTGAGATCGTTTACTTAGATATCCTCCGTTTCAATAGAATTCTAATACACTGATTTTTTTTTTTTCTACATAGACATTCTCAACAAAGGGAAATTCTGCCTCTCAGGGAAGAGTCAATCTGGAGATTGGAGTCACCACAGCTTGGAGTAGGGCAAGAGGCCAGAGTCGCTGCCAGTGTATAGGACAGCCCCTAAGTCAACATTGCTGAGATTCAGAAACCCTGATTGAAAAGCTAACCCAGGACACAGTTGAAGCAGCGGCGGGTCGGCTAATAGTCTGTGAGGATGACGCGGCACGCCAAGAACTGCAGCGCCGGGGCGGTCTACACCTACCATGAGAAGAAGAAGGACACAGAGGCCTCAGGCTATGGGACCCAGAACATTCGACTGAACCGGGACGCTGTGAAGGACTTTGACTGCTGCTGTCTTTCGCTGCAGCCCTGTCGTGATCCTGTGGTCACCCCAGATGGCTACCTGTATGAACGGGAGGCAATCCTGGAGTACATCCTACACCAGAAGAAAAAGATTGCCTTGCAGATGAAGGCCTATGAGAAGCAGCGGGCAGCCCTCAGAGAAGAGCAGAGACAGCTTCACCGAGCTGCAGCCCAGGACCGAGCTCGAGGCTTCCTGGAGAAGGAGGCAGCCATCCTGAGCCAGCCCCTGCACCCCTTCATGCCCAAGGCTGCCACCTTACCCAACACGGGCGATGAGCAGCCAGGTCCCAGTGCGGGTCCCCCAGGCAAGGACAAGGACACAATACTGTCCAGCTTCTGGGTCCCCTCACTGACGCCCGAGGCAAAGGCCACCAAGCTGGAAAAACCATCTCGCATCGTGACCTGCCCGATGTCTGGGAAGCCACTCCGCCTGTCAGACCTGACGCCAGTGCGCTTCACGCGGCTGGATGACTCTGTGGACCGCGTGGGGCTCATCGCACGCAGTGAGCGCTACGTGTGTGCAGTGACCCGAGACGGCCTGAGCAACGCCATGCCGTGCGCAGTGCTGCGGCCTTCTGGGGCGGTGGTCACTCTGGAGTGTGTCGAGAAACTGATTCGGAAGGACATGGTGGACCCTGTGAATGGGGATACCCTGACAGAGCGCGACATCATCATGCTGCAGCGGGGCGGGACGGGCTTCGCAGGCTCGGGAGTGAAGCTGCAGGCGGAAATGTCGCGGCCAGTGATGCAGGCCTGAGCCATTCCCTAATAAACCTGCCGGTGAACGCGGACCCAAACCTTAACCCAGCAGCGCCAACTGGAGAGGTGAGACTTGTTCTATTTTCAGTGAGACAGCACCACCTAGTGTCAAAATATAATATTTATCTTCGTTGCTGAATAATAGTAAAGTACCAGATTAAAAAAATCCTCAGTGTGCTGGTATCGGAGATGAAGGATATTCATAACTGGCTACAGTGTACATGGTAGACAGAACGGTGGTATTATATGCATATACACAATTGAATATGTATTCCAAGCTCGAATGTAAGAGTTAGAATAAACAGGCATGACGGCACGATGACTATGAACATATAATATGATGAATATTGAATATTACATATACAATATTCCAGAGGCAGTCTCAGGATTTAGAAGGTGATTCTTGGTTATCAGGGATTTTATGATACATGGCCCTGTGGAAACATTTTACTACGTTCCGTATAAAGTTGAAGTTGCCCCTGAAGCTATCAAGATGGTTCAGCCGGTGAGGGCACTTGGTGCCAAGCCTGACAACCTGGGTTGGGTCCCTGGGGTCTGGTGGAAGGAGTGAGCTGGTTCCCTCAGACTGCCATCTGACATCTACTTGCGTGCTGTGGCGTGTCTCACTCTCTACTTCCTGTCACTGCCTACACGAGAGAAGAGAGGCCTAAGCGTGCAGCTGAATCTTCGACTGAAATCGTTATTCCCAGACCAGGCTAACGGCATGTGCCACCACGGCCCAGTGGGTGTAACCTCTTATAGAACGGGACAACTCAAAGCTGGAACTAGCGTGAGAATTTTTTTTAATATTTCTTTATTTATTATGTATACAATATTCTGTCTGTATGTCTGCAGGCCAGAAGAGGGTACCAGATCTCATTACAGATGGTTGTGAGCCACCATGTGGTTGCTGGGAATTGAACTCAGGACCTTTGGAAGAGCAGGCAATGCTCTTAACCACTGAGCCAATTCTCCAGCCTGAGAATTTTTCTTGAGTGTACTTAAATGTGTTTTGTGTGTGTGGATGCGTGTGTGTGTGTGCGTGCATGTTTGTGCATGTGTGTGTGTGCAGGCCAGAGGACAGCTTGTAAGAGTGACTGAGCCCTCACCTTTCACCATGTGGGTGCCAGGAATCAAACTTAGGTTCTCTGCCTTGGCGTCAAGCACCTTTATTTGCTGAATCAACTCTCCAGCCCCCTTATTCCTACTTTCCTGTCGCCCACGGTACCCGGCACAGCATCTTACACAGAGTAGACAACACGGCTGATTTCTTGAGTAAATGAATTTATTTTTATACTGCAAATCCTTGCCTTGAAGCAAAGAAACTCTCAAGCCTTTCTAAAGCAATTACCATCTCCAGCTAAAAATCCCCGGCGGAGGGGGACCTGGCACAGAGAACACCAGGGATCTGAGCGCAGGGATTTGGTAACAGACCAGACACCTCCAGTTCACACCCCCGGCTTGTCTGAAGCAGATGCTGTGACAGACACTCTGGGGGCCATGTTTGGATTGGCCTAAGCATGGCAGAGAGCTGAGTATGTCATCAGCAGCAGAGGTCTAGTGAAGGTCTCCGTTGTGCCTGGTGCCAGTCTAGGCACTGGGGGTGGGTGTGGGTGTGACTGTCTGCCTAAAATGATGGAGGTAGGCCGGTGGCAGCCTTGTTTGGAGCCTTGTTTTGACTGCGTAACAAGTGCACTGTGAAATCTTGGGTGTCCTGGTTGGTTTTGTTTGCTTTTTGCTTTTAAATCTCAGGCACGTTTTGGCTTCTCATGTGATTCCACAGGCAGGATATGCAAGTGAAGAGTCTCACCACTTGGGCGGAGAGGAGTATGACAAGATCCTCTAATGTTAAGTGGGAACTCATCTAGTGAATTCACCAAGATGACCGCTATGGGTGTAATCCATGAAAGGCGATGATGGGCTCCCCAGCTTTCTCTTTTGCATCTATTCTAAAGTCACTAACTTCTCTCAGCCCTGGCTATGTCTCCTAATTGCTCCTAGTTGGGCCTAATGTCCCTTACACGCAGTGTGGGGGAGCATGCTTGCTCCCCACTCCCTCAGGCCGCGGTGGCAGTTGTATGGTACCTTTGGTTTGTGAGGATTGCCTACGTGCATCTCTAAGATGCACAGCCCTATAACTCTCCCTCAGCCAAGGCTTAAAAAGCCCCAGCCAACTTACTTAAAACACTTCTGGCCACGGGTCCAGCAGGATGGGAACTCACTCAAATGCGGTTGTTTGGAAACCACTGCGTATGGCCGGTCTTCCTTCCCCTCCAAAGTCCACCCTCTCACACAGCAGGCACTGAGCCATCCTTAAAGTTCATCGCTCTCCACCATGCTCCGAGAAGTGCAGGAATACACCATTGTGCTTTCCACGGAGGAGAAGGCAGAGAAGATGTCAAGTCCTTTGCTGCTGAGAGACCCGTAGCGGCTGCCACTGGGACGGATGGACATAGGTGGCGGGATCTGCTGGTGCCACTGAGCTGGAAAATGAACCAAACAAAATGTTAACGATCAAAGGAATCCATGGGAGGAGCACTGATACCTCGGTTGGTGGCGCACTCTTACAATCCCAGCACTTCGGAGGCAGATGCAGGAGGATCGGGAGTTCAAATCCAGTCTTGGCCTCAGAGCAAGTTTGAGGTCAGTCTGGGCTTTAGGAGACCCTGTCTAAAATGGAGGTCGTACAGAGAGACAGGGAGAATTGTGGAGAATTGATGCCATGTTTGCCCACTTGATTTTCAAAACATAAGACAAAACAAACAGACAAACAAACAAAAAACCAAACGTCAGGGAGAACCCATCTTCAAAGCACAGCAGAGAGTGTTATCTATCTCATTTACGCATGGAGCATTGCACGATAAAAATGATATTGAAACTGTCCTCCATGCACAGATGTTCCTTAAATGACGTCATCCTTACCATATATATCCAACCTAGCTGTGCAGGACACAATGCCCGCTTCATTCTTGGCTGACAGGGTATACCAGCCGGCGTCAGATTTCTTGGCTGGCTGGATGAGGAGGCAGACATAGCCCGTTGTGTCCTGGTGCATGCTGGGGAAGAGAAAGAACATGTTCGCCTTTAACTTGGGAGCAGAAGCATGGTGGTCAATCTTAGGCTTGGGGAAACTCTTAGAGAAGGGACAGGGGACAGTTAGCTCTTTAGCCAAAGCCTAGAAAAGCTGTCCTCTTGTCCCCTTACTTTATTCTCCTTTCTCCTCCCTCGCTCCCTCGCTCCCTCGCTCCCTCGCTCCCTCGCTCCCTCCCTCCCTTGCTCCCTCCCTCCCTCCCTCCCTCCCTCTCTTTGAGACAGAGCCTCCTGGCTGGCCTGGAACTCATTAGACAGACCAAGCTAGCCTCAACTTAGAGATCCTCTTGCTGCTTCTTGCTACCGAATCCAGCCCTTTAATCCTTTCCTTCTTAAAAATTTATTTCTTTGAGTATGTATGCATGGATGCACACCACATATATAGTGATAGCCTGAAGAGGCATCAGATTCTCTGGAACTAGAGGTGCAGATGAACCACCATGTGGGTGCTGGGAGTCAAACTTGGGTCCTCTGCAAGAGCAACAACTACTCGTAATGTTGAGCCATCTCTCCACTCCCCTCCTTTATGAGACGGTCTCATGTGGCCCAGGGTGACCTTGAGCTCCTTTGGTACCTAAGAACTTGAACTCCTGATCCTCCTGCCTCTATCTTGTACACGCTGGGACATGCTATTACCCCTAGCTCCTAATGCAGCTTTTTGTTTATTAAAAAAAAAAAAAGACAAAACCTTTCCCAGGTCCTAAAACGATTGAGAATATGACAAAAATATGCCAGAAACAAGCTGAAACTCGGTAGCACCATATTCAATGAAAGAAGCCCGCTGCAAAGGTTGCAGGCTTATCTGGATGGCCCACCGAGCCCCTCTGAGCATGGATGTCTCCACAGAGATGGTGCTTACTGTACCTGATCCTCTCTCTACTGAAAGGGATGGTCTCGTTGTCCTTCTTCCAGTAGAACACGGGTGGGGGCATGCCCACGACACGACACTCCAGTCTCACCGGGTGGCCCTCAGGAACACCACTGTTTTGGAGTTTCTCCAGGATCATGGGTGCTTTCTTCACCTCTTTGGCTAAAGAAGAGAAGTTACTTTTTTTTTTAAGAAGGGTTTTTTTTTAAAAAAAAAATATTTACCTATTTATTTATTATGTGTACAATATTCTGTCTGTGTGTATGCCTGGAAGCCAGAAGAAGGCACCAGACCTCATTACAGATGGTTGTGAGCCACCATGTGGTTGCTGGGAATTGAACTCAGGACCTTTGGAAGAGCAAGCAATGCTCTTAACCGCTGAGCCATCTCTCCAGCCCCCGAGAAGTTACTTTTCTATATGAATAGTAGCAAGGTCTTTGAGGTTTCTGCCTCAGATGCATCACGTTTATTTTATTTTATTTCGAGGCAGGGTCCCACTGTATTGGCTGTCCTGCAACTTGCTCTGTAGACCAGGCTGGCTTTGAACTTTGCTTGTACTGGGAATAAAGTCATGTATCACCATACCCACTCAGAAATAGTCACTTTACAAAAAAAAAATTTTTTTAAATCCCAGCACTCAGGAAGCAAAAGTAGGCAAATCTCTGTGAGTTTGAGGTCAGCATGGTCTCTACAGAGCTAGTTTTAGGAAACCCAGGGCTACATAGAGAAACCCTGTATTGAAAAACCAAAAAAAAAAAAAAAGTTTTTCAAAGTTATATTTAATTAATTCATTTGATTTGTGTGTGTTTGTATGTGTGTTCCTGTTTGTGTGTGTGTGTGGCTGTGTGCATTTGTTTGGATGTATGTGTGTGTGACAGCTTTCGTCAGGAGTTATTTCTTCTGTTCCATCACGTGGAGCCCTGGGATTTGAACTCAGGTTAGAATGCTTGGTGGCAGATGCCTTTTTCCACTAAGTCATCTCGATAATCAAATAATGACTTTTAAGAACATAGTTCACATACTAAAACTGATTTTTTTGAGGACTTTATTTCATAGGAACTAAATTTTTATCCGACTTAAACTTTTTTGTTTATTGTGTATGAATGGGAGTCTGGGTGAGTTTTGTGTGTGGTGCACATTCAGGGGCCTTGAGAGCTAGGCAGGACTTCAGATCCCCTGGAACAGGAGTTAATAGGCTGCTGTGAGCTGCCATGTGGGTTCTGGGGACCAAACCCAGGTCCTCTGCTTCAGCAACGAGTGTCCTAACCACTGAACCATCTTTCCAGCCCACAACCAACTCTTTGGATTTGGTCACATTGTCATTTTTCTATTTTGCAGGTTCCCTCCCATAAATTTATTTGGGGTAAAAACCTTTAGAAAATTATTCATCCCCAGAAGGTAGCCTCATCTATCAAAGCCACTGTTTTAGAAATATGGAAAAAAAGGTAAAAGCCTGCAACAAAATTACAGTTTCCCATTTTGCTGGTGAGACTAAATTAAGAGCAAAGGAAAAGGGTTCACAGGAGAGCAGCCGCTGGCTGAGGAGGGAGAACAGCGGTGCTGACTGTTGGTTTCCTCCTTCCTTCCTTCCTTCCTTCCTTCCTTCCTTCCTTCCTTCCTTCCTCCCTTCCTCCCTCCCTCCCTCCTTTCTTCCTTCCTTTCTTCTCTCTCTCTCTCTCTCTCTCTCTCTCTCTCTCTCTCTCTTTTTCTAAGGCAGGCTTTCTCTGTAGCCCTGGCTGTCCTGGAACTCACTCTGTAGACCAGGTTGGCCTCAAACTCAGATCTGCCTGCCTCTGTCTCCCTCATGCTGGGATTGCCTAGTTCAGGTTGGTTTACATAACGGGCTGCCCACAGTGGGAGGAAGCCTAGCACTAAGATCCCCACTGGATCACTGCCCTGCAGCTGATGATGTCTTACTTCCCTTTCTGAGACATTGCTGCGTTCTGTTCACACCATCTTATTAGGTGAAGGCTGTAACATGAGGGCTGGGCTCATTGGGGTTTCTGTCCCACCCAGTCCCCCAGCCATTTAGTCCTAGAGAAAATCCACACAGAGATCTTCATAAGTTATAAAACTGATTGGCCCATTCGCTCAGGCTACTTATTAGCTTTTGTAGCTTGTATTAACCCATTATTCTTATCTATGTTAGCCACATGGCTTGGTACCTTTCTCAGCGGGGCAGGTCACATCTTGCTTCTTTGGTGATTTGGGCTGCACTGCGAAGGAATGGGTTTCCTCCTTCCCAGCATTCTCCTGTTCTCATTGTCCCGCCTCTACCTCCTGTCTGGTTGACCCACCTATACTTCCTGCCTGGCCAATCTGCGTTTATTTAAAACATGATTGACAGAATACAGACAATTCTCCCGCACCAGAAGGTTCATTTGCTTTGGAATTCGACATTTGGGATTCACCTTCCACTGAGGCAAACATCAAAGAAACCCAAACCGAGGTCTCAGGACACGACTCAGTGGGTAAAGGCCATTGCTGTTAAGCCTAAAGACCTGAGTTTGATACCCAGGCCTGCATGGTGGAAGGAGCCAGACTACTTCTGCAAGCTGTACTCTGACCACACGCAGGCTATGGCACATCTCCTTCTCCATAAGTAAGAACACAACACAGCCAACCAGGGTCTCTGTCCGTGGAAGCTCAGAGCCTGTAGGGAGGCAGATCAGTGAGCAACGAACACGGCAGTCTGCAAGCACTCTGGGGAGCTTGCCTATTCTTGCGCTGTGGAAACCCAGAGGAGGTGGCAGAGGGCTGCCTGGTGAACCCACCGTGCCTGGGTGGTGACCCTAGCCTTCAGCCTTTACATTTTATTCATTCCTACTTTTATTTTTGAGAGGAGTCTTCAGGTAACTGGCCTGGTTTCATCTCTGAAGGATGATCTCCTGTCCCCACCTCCCTAGTGCTGAGTGTCTGTCAGGTATATGCCGCTAAACCTGGTCTAAGTGGACTCTGTGTGCTCTCGGGCACTCTGCCAACTGAGCAGATAAATCTTTGGTCCTGAATGAGAAGAGTGCTGGTTAGGGACCATTCAGTTAGCAATATTACTGGTGCAATGCAAAGGTTCCTAACTCAGGGAACAGAAGAGCCTAGTGTGTTCCAGGAATCACAGACTGAAGGGCAAAAGACTAGAATTTAGTGACAGCCAATTAAATAACCCATTGATTATTTAGTCAATTATTGCAAGTGCTCCCATTGATTGTATGATTAAAATGAAAAGCAACCATCTTACATGTCTAGATCACTATGTATCTCAGAAACCAGTGTAGAAAATAGGGTCCACTATGGTGAAGGGGAAACAGATTGCTGGGGCGAGGGATTCCGGGATTCTGCCCGAGCACCTGAGTATCCGGACAGTCAGCGTTAAGGGAGTTCTGCCTAGAGGTCCCTGGGCGAGACTTACCTACTACGGTGAGCTCCAAACTAAAGGAATTCTGCCCAGTTTTGTTGGTAGCCACGCACGTGTAGGTCCCTGCGTCGCGTTGAGTGAGCGGGTCGATGAGCAGAGAGTGAACCCCCGTCTCTCTGACCAGCATCTTGTGGGAGGCATCTGGTAGCACGGGTCGCCCATTGAGCAGCCACGTCAGCTCTGGGGGCGGTAAGCCACTCACCTAAGAACCAACGGAACAGCTGATTCAGGTGGCGCGCTGATGACAGGCAGGTTTATCTGGGGAGCGAATGCTTTATCCTAGTTGGCACCAAATACACAGTGAAGGGAAACCCAGGGAAGAGGGATCTAAATGGACGGCGCTGTGGGTTTGAACTGTGTGGAATCCTGGCCTCCCTTCAGCCACGATTAATCCACGTGATTATATTCTAGAACGGAATAATGGCAGAGCTGAGAAGATAAAACAGGTCCGTGGCATCAATAAGAGGTCTGACTTCAGCTTAGATACCAGAATTAAGAGAAGAGTCAGATATTAAATCAAAGTTCTCGGCTTTTGCTCATGGACTAAGTATAAAAACATCTTGATGCCTAATTATAATATTAAACCAGAATCTCTCAGGACGGGAGCCAGACACCGGTAGTGTTTGGGGTTTAGAGACAGGAGAGCATAGAACCTGAATGTTATTTAGACAGCAGCTGGTGGGGTTAAGAGGCACGCACAGGAAGGGGTTCTGCGCATGCTTAACCTCCAGCCTTCACTGACTTGAACCTAGGAAGCCTCATTGGGAAATCAGAATATAAAATCACAAAAGGTGACAGAGGTGGCTTAGTGTGAGGAAACGACCCCTGTTTGCTCAGAGTGGCTCTGTTTTCTCACATTTATGACTTCTCAAAGGTTCTCCCCTCTCTACAACTAAAGATGCAAAATAATCTAAGCTTCTGGCTTCATAGCAATAAAGGATTCCAGGGACCATATGAAAAAGTACACACGTTTGTCCTTTTCACAGTGAAGAATCGACTTATATAAGGCCCACATAAAACAGTTTTTTTCTTCAAAAATTTTTATGCTTACATAATTTTTATTAAGATAGTTTAAGATTTTGATGACATATTTCTGTATGGTATTAAAAAGATGAAATGCTCTAGAGCAGTCTATGGCGGGGACGATTTCCCTCCCTTCCCTAAGATCCTTCTGTCTGGAAGAAACCCCATGTAACAAACACAGACAAAAACAAGTGCAAATAAATAACCAGATCAAAACTCGGGACAGGCCTGGAGCTAAGGACAGGTGTTTGGAAATACCTTACAGTCCAGCCGGCAGAGACGGCCCTCATGAGCCACCATGTCCCCTGGGGCCTGCAGGAAATGTGGGCGGAAAAAGCGCTCCTGTAGAGGCTCCTTGTCTCTCTCTTGCATTCTGGCCCTTCCCCTACAAGAAGCATTTGCAAATGTATAACAATAACCACATACATTTAGAAATGGCTATAAGGCTATAATGAGGCATGGTCTCCTGTAGCCTGGGCGGGCCTTGAGCTCAATAAGTAAATCCAGGATGACCTTGAACTGGTTCTCCTGTCTCTACCTCCTGACTTCTGATATTATAGGCAAGCATCGTTATGCCCAGTTTATGTAGTACCTACTGAAGATGAAACCCAGGACTTGGAGCATGCTAGGTAAGTACTCTACCAACTGAACCACACCCTAGAGTAGGAAGGTTTCGCTGGACAGTCAATCAATCACAGCTTAGAACTGATATAAATACACACACACACACACACACACACACACACACACGTGCGCACGTGTCAAACCAAACTCAAACAAAACCAAAACTCCTTGTGGCATTGTACATTGTAGAATCATCTCCAAATTCTGAAATAGGCTCTGGACTGGATGCTTCCAGAGGACCCAAGTTCAGTCCCCAACACCCACTCCAGGTGGCTCACAAGCACCTGTAACTCTGGCTCAAGAGGATCTGCTGTCCTCTGCGCACACACCCCGGCCATACACATAATTAAAAACAATGGAAATAAAATAGTAAGACTTAGCTTCTTCCTCTCTGAAGTTATTCAGCACTAATTGGCTAAGCTTCCCTCTCTGTGGGCTTTGGAATTTGTTGAAAAGTCATCAAAATAAACACATAAATCAGTACTCCATCTGAGAGCCCAAAGAAAGCCCCCCCCCAATCACCCAGAACAAAAATGGCTGTGACCGCAATAAAATTCAGCCGGGCAATAAATTATGACTGATAATTAAAGATGACCATTAACTTGAACTCAGTCAGAGTGTCCAACAGTAACAGCTGTTCTTGAAAACAAAACAAAATAACAAAGATAAAGGAGGGGGTGGAGAAGTGTCTTCCCAAGGGCAGTGTAACACTGTATGTGAAACACAGCTCTCTATTTTTGGTCCTTTAGTAAGCCATTTAACTCATCAGCCTCAGCAGCAATCTGCTAAGACTTTGTGGCACCATAAGACTCAAGGGGAAAGCCAGGCTCTTTCTCATTAGTACTTCATAAAATCTGAGAAGAAAAACAGTTATAATGGAGATTACCGGGGAAATATTCAAGTTTCTGCTTGGCAATAGAAAAGCCGGAGGTTTCAAAGGATCTGTTCGGCATTGCGTGCACAGGTGTTACTGATGCTACAATGTTTTGAACCATTACAATTGTATCAAAGGGGCTGGGAATGTTGCTCAATTGGGCTAGTGCCTGCTTAGCATGCCTGAAACTCCAGGTTCATTCCCCAGCACCACAAAGACTGGGTGTAGTGGTGCAAGCCTATAATCCCAACACTTAGGAGGTGAAGGCAGAAGTATCAGTTTAAGATCATCCTCTGCTATATTTGAGGGCAGCCTGGTCTACATGGGAGCCTGTCTTTAAAAAAAAAAATAATAAGCCAAAGCCTGGAGCTTCTCAAACGTAAATGTGTCCATGCATCTCTTGGGGATTCTGTTCAAAGTGCGAATTCTGACTTGGATGCTCTGGCTCTGGACCAGGCTTGATGATGTCTGTATTCCAAGGAGCCCCTGGTGGTGGCACAGGGTGTGCCGTACATTTAGGCAGTGAGTCACTGTGATGAGTGGGGCCATGAAAGGGGTCCAGAAAAGGGAGGTCTGCATTACCTGTGAGACTGACCGGCAGGGCTGAGTCTGTTTCGAATGGGTAAACTCTGGACCATCAAGTGGCCAGAGCAGCTGATTCTCCCCTGAGAAGCAGAAAACAAGCAAAATTAAAATAAGGAGAAATGCACATTTTTTTTCGATTTATATAAATGTTTTCTTCACCAAAACATTATACATTTTTTTCTAACAAAGAAAGATTCTCTTTGCCCAAGAGAAATGAAAGCAACACGATTTTAGTTTTGTTTTGTTTTTCGAGACAGGGTTTCTCTGTGTAGCCCTGGCTGTTCTGGAACTCACTCTGTAGATCAGGCCGAACTTGAGCTCAGAGGTCTGCCTGTCTCTACTTCCTGAGTCCTGGGATCAAAGGTATGTGATAGCACCTCCCAGCTAAAACCAAAGCAAATTTTAGTGTATCTGTGTGTGTGTGCTTTGTGTGTGTGTATCTGTGTGCTTTGGTCCATTTTTCTCTGTGTGGTGAAGCCTTGATGTTGGTTGGGAGTCTTCCTAGATGTTCCCTCCACCTTAGTCATTGAGGTAGGCTCTCTCAGTTGAACCCAGAGCTTGCAGACATGACCAGTATGGCTAGTAGCTTGCACTGGGGGTCCCCATCTCTGCCTTTTCGGGCTTGAATCCCATGTGGGTCATCACACCCAGCCAGGATTCACAGGAGCTCTGGTCGCCACACTTGTACAGTGAACGTTTAAAAATCTGGCTTCTGGGGCTGGAGAGATGGCTCGGAAGTGAGGAAAGGTTGCTGTGTTTTCAGATGACCAGAGTCGTTCCGGGCATCCACTCCATCACCTGTAACTCCAGTTCTAGGGGATCTGACACCCTCCTCCTCTGGTCCCTGAGGGCATCTGCATCACACACACAATCTTTAATTTTATATATATATATATATGTGTGTGTGTGTGTGTGTGTGTATGTATGTATGACTTTTAGTATTTATTATTATCAGGTGGGGGGTACATATGCCATGTAACTTCTTCTTCTTCTTTTTTTTTTTTTTTGCCATGTAACATTCTTGATGAACGTCAGAAGCCAACTTTGTGGAGTCAGTTCTCTCCTGCTTTTACATGGGTTCTGAGAATCATACTCACATCACTGGGTTCCTGTGACAAATGCCTTTACCTAGTGACCCATCTTTCCAGGCCCCAAATGACTTGTTAATATGTCAGGGGGAGAGCTCTTAGGAGTATTATGATAGTTTCCACTTTAACCCAAGAAATAAAAAGAGCGCAGATATTTTTAAAATTACAATTTTTACGTTGAGTTGTGGTGGCACCTTTAATCCCAAATCTCTGTGAGTTCGAGGCCAGCCTAGACTACAGAGTGAGTTCCAGGACAGGTTCCAAAGCTACACAGAAAAACCCTGCCTTAAAACAAAACAAAACAAAATTGCAATCCCCCCAATTTAACATCATTCGTACAACAGTACAAAGAACATGACCAATTATTCTTATGCTTTCCTCAATAGAGAGACATCAAAATTGACATTTCAGTGGGAAAAGGGATGGAAATAGAAATTATGGATTTATATTTGCAATTGGAATGGTAATTAGAAATATTCTGTCCCATCTTTTAGGGGAATTTTGAAAGTCATTCTCATTCAGAAAAGTGTAAGGATCACAGCTCTGCAACTTTTATCCATAAAGAAGAAAAGAGAAAGAAACATCTGATGAGTTTGGGAGACATTTAAAACCTTTTGGAAGTAATTAATTCTCTAGATTTACTTATTTTAATTTTTTAAAGATTTGTTTATGTGTATGAGTAGTTTACTGGAAAAATATCTGTATACCATGTGTGTGTCTGGTTCCACTGGACTTGGGAAGCGGCCGCCAGAACTCCCGGTGGATGGTGCGAGCTGCCGTGTGGGTGCTGGGAATTGAACCTTAGTCCTCTGTAAGAGCATCAAGTGCACTCAGCCACTGATCCACCTCTCTAGCCCCCATCTATTTATTTAATTGATATTAATGTGTATGTATCTGTGTTTGCCAGGTGTGTAGGTGCCTTCAAAGGCCAGAAGAGGGCATCGGAGCCCACGGAGATGGAGTTACAGGTGGTTGTGAGCTGTCTGATGTGGGTGCTGGGAACTGAACATGGGGTCTTCTGGAAGAGCAGCAAATGCTCTTAACTACTGAGCCAATTCTCCAGCCCTTGGTTTTCGTTTTGATTTGTTTTCTGTCTTCAAACTCAATGCACTGTGACCTTGAACGGATGCTCCTCGCCACTGCTTCCTGAGTCTCCCACCAAGCTTGCTTGTTTTTATGTAGCATTGAGGATCAAACCCAGAGCCTCGGGCATGCTAGACAAGCACACACACAAAAAAACCTAACTCGGTCCCCCAGGGCACTGTCCTGACAAGGCCTTCTGTGGAGCGCAGCCAGGAGCAGACTAGTCAGCCCGACCCTGGGTTCTCGTTAGGCACTTTCCGTTCACTCCCCTCAGCACTTGTCCGGGTCCCATTTGCAGTGACACGGATCACTCCTTCTGATATCCAGGAGCCCTGCCACCCACCTGGGGGTTGGCCGCCATGATGGTGTAGTTCCCATCATCGTCACCGTTGGTGGATTCGATGTGCAGGGAGCAGGTCCCGTCTCCTTCTCGCCTCATTCTGCAGTGCTCACTTCTCTTAGAGATCTGCTTCCCATCTTTGAACCAATAAACCTGGAGGGAGAAGGAGCTGTTGGTGAGGACTTTGTTCTGGAGCCGCGGAAATATGAGACGGAGGTCGAATGCCATCCCTGTGACAAAACACTCATCCTTTGCAAACACTTAGAAAAAATCATAAAACATATTCAAAAGGACAGAATACTGTGCACCTTCAAAAGGACAAAATACTGTGCACCTCCATCTGTACCTATACAGACCTCCAGGAAGAAATATAATGTAGTTTAGCATGGCGGTAAAGCTTTTGACTATCTTTATTATAACCTCATAATTAGCTTACGGATATTTTAAGGACCAATTATGTCTTCACATGGAAATAATGAACACAGGAACTTGGATCATCCCCTGTTATCCTATGTAAACCCCAGTCACGAAGCTGAAAGGCTAGGATGGTTTATTGGATCAAAAGGAATAAGGCTAGGATTGAGTTGCTAAATTCACGCCCTGGCCCAAAACCAAACTCTAAGATTGAAATCAGCACAGATTTGCTGTGCAAATATTTCGGTGGTCAGCCCGGCGAGCGGTGGTCAGCGAGAGCGAGTTCCGCGAGGCGGGGCAGGGAGGTGGGTGGGAGGAGGGCGTGGCAGGCAGAGGGATAAAGAACTGGTTGCAGGTGCCCACTTCGCCTCTTCCTTGGTTACCGAACCAACACGCTCGTGTTTGTGAAAGCAGATCCCCGGGGTGCGTGGCCACACCGGTGCAAATCCTTTCCTGATTGCCAAGGAATGCGGTGACTCAGAGAATCGTTCAGCAGCCAGTGACAAGCACGGGGCATTGCTGGCATTTGCTAAGCTAACAGCAAGGACATCAAGAGAGCCCTCTGTGTACAGCAAAGGGCACCCTGTGGGTGCTGAGTAGAAACTGAACCCAATGAAGAAAAGTAATCATGTGAGTTTGATGAAGGCAGCGCGACTAAGACATTAGTTCTACACTTTTATTAAAATTCTAACAAGGTCTGATGTCGCTGGCCTTTAATCCCCGCCCTCCAGAGACAGAGGCAGGTGGATCTCTGCGGCTGTGAAGTCAGCCTAGTCTATACAGAGAGGCCCAGGCCAGTCAGGACCCCGCCCAAAAAACAAACAAAAAACCCTAACGAGTCTGATTTCTTTTCGGCTTAATAATCCTGTTCCTGATACTTTTTTTTTTTTTCTAAATCACTTGGGCTTTACTAATTTTTTGAGTATTGTTTTTCATTTTTATTCTGTAGATGTTTCACTACGGTATAAGTTGTTGTTGGGGTGTGTGTGTGTGTGTGTGTGTGTGTGTGTGTGTGTGTGTTTTGTTTCATGCAGCCTAAACTGGCCTCGAACATACTCTATAGCCAAGGATGCTCTTGAATTCATGATTCTCCTGAGTGTTGAGATTACAGGCTTGCATCACCATGTCTAGGTTTTGTTTTTTGTTTTTGTTTATTTGTTTGGTTTGATTTGGGGTTTGATTTTTTTTTTCCAGACATGGTTTCTCTGTGTAGCCTAGGTTGTCCTGGAACTGGCTTTGTAATCTAGACTGGGCTTGAATGCAGAGTTCTGCCAGCCTCTGCCTCCTGATTGCTGGGATTAAAGTCATGTGATGACGCCACCGCCCAGTCAAAGAAAATTTTTTTTAATATGGTTTTGAGGGCTGAATCCAGGGTTTCATGCATAGTACATTCCAAGCCTGAAACTTTTCTTTTTAATGTGTTTCTGGTGGGTGGATGGGGATGGGGGTCCAGGAAGAGGCCAGAACTGGAGTTTTGGAGCTGGAGCTGGAGTTACAGGTGGTTGAGAGCTACCACAAGTGGATGTTGGGAACTGAACGCCCATCCCAGCAATTGCTCTTAACTGAGAAGCCATCTCTCTTACTCCCCGAGATTTTTTTGTCGGTCTAGAGGACACCTGTTAGAGCCATTAGAGGCAAGAACTCTGCCGCTGAGCCACATCCCAGCCCTATGAGACTTTCCTGAAGACCTCGTAGATAGCCCCACACTGCTGATGGTCAAATGGCAGGCCATCTTCCCTACCTTTGGAACCGGGATCCCGACAATTTTGCAGGTGAAGGTGACCGGAGAGCCTTCCGTCACCCGGAAGTGCTTGAGTCTTTTGTCGAAGACGGGTGCGATACACTTGCCCGTGGGGATTTCACCATGCTGGATCTCGTCATCGGATTCGTCCACGGGCGTGCGCTCCAAGCGGAACTCTATCTCATTCATCAGCCTCTGCTCAAAGCTCGAAATTTTATACTCCTGCCAATCAGAAGGGGACGCTGAAATCTCTATGTAAAAAACTTTATTATTATTAGTATGTAGTGGACCATGCATGTGTGCCAGGACAGCATGCCAATGTCCCAGACAGCTTCCTGGAGTTCGTTCTTAAGTTAGAGTTTCATTCATATGTGTATGTATGTGTGTGTGTGTGTGTGTGTGTGTGTGTGTGTGTGTGTGTGTATATATATACATACACATATATATATATTTCTTTTACTTTATGTGTCTGGATGTTTTGCTGACACATATGTCTGTGCAACATGTACATGTCTAAGGGTGCTTGACATTGAACTCAGGTCTTCTGAAAAGATATATAGTATTCTTAACTATGGAGCCTTTCTCTGGCCCCTTAGTTGAAGTTTCTACTGCTGTGATGAAGACTATGGCCAAAAGCAACTCTGAGAGGACAGGGTTTATTTCATCTTACAGCTTCCTTCTTCCAGGGAAGCTGGGGCAGGAACTCAAGGCAGGAACCTGAAGGCAGGAACTGAAGCAGAGGCCATGGAGTAACGCTACTTACTGGCTTGTTCCTCCTGGTTGCCCAGTTTACTTTTTTTTTTCTAAAGTATGTTACAGTTTTTATTTTATTTTATTTTATTTTATTTTATTTTATTGAGCTCTACATTTTCCTCTACTCCTCTTTCTTTCCCTTCCCCTTCAACCCTCTCCCATAGTACCCATGTTCCCAGTTTACTCAGGAGATCGTGTCTTTTTCTACTTCCCATGTAGATTAGATTCATGTATGTCTCTTAGGGTCCTCATTGTTGTCTAGGTTCTCTGGGACTGTGATTTGTAGGCTGGTTTTCTTTGCTTTATGTTTAAAAACCACTTATGGGTGAATACATGTGATAATTGTCTTTCTGGGTCTGGGTTACCTCACAAAACTCAAGTCCAAATGGATCAAAGACCTCAACATAAAGCCACACCGAACCTCACAGAAGAGAAAGCGGGAAGTACACTTGACAAAGGAGACCACTTCCTAAATATAACCCCAGTAGCGCAGACACTGAGAGAAACAATTAATAAATGGGGCCTCCTGAAACTGAAAAGCTTCTGTGAAGCAAAGGACACGGTCAGGAAGACAAAATGGTGGCCTACAGAATGGGAAAAGATCTTCACCAGTCCCACATCAGACACAGGTCTGAGCTCCAAAATATACAAAGAACTCAAGAAATTGGTCATCAAAAGAACAAACAACCCATTAAAAAATGGAGTACAGACCTAAACAGAGAACTCTCAATAGAGGCATCTAAAATGGCTGAAAGACACTTAAGGAAATGCTCAACATCCTTAGTCATCAGAGAAATGCAAATCAAAACAACTCTGAGATTCCATCTTACACCTGTAAGAATGGCCAAGATCAAAAATACTGACGATAACTTATGCTAGAGAGGCTGTGGGGAAAAGGGAACACTTCTGCATTGCTGGTGGGAATGCAAACTGGTACAGCCCCAGTTTGCTTTCTCATACAGACCAGGACCACTGCCCAGGGGTGGCACCACCCACAGTGGGCTAGGCCCTCTCACATCCATCACTAATCAAGACAATACCAAGCAGACTTGCCTGCAGCCCAATCTGATGGTGGCAGCTGGGCAGTGGTGGCACACACGACACACACACCTTAAATTCCAGCACTCAGGAGGCAGAGGCAGGAGGATCTCTGTGAGTTTGAGGCCAGCCTGGTCTACAGAGAGAGTTCCAGGACAGCCAGGGCTACACAGAGAAACAAAAACAAAAGAACAACAACAACAGAAAAATAGATTACGTCCTTCCAGAAATGTCTGGGTTTGTGTCAAGTTGAGGAGAGCCATCCAGCACCCCTCTACCTCTACCCTGTTAAGGGTCCTAGGGAGGAACCTGTCTGGTAAGCTTTTGAAAAATAAGTGCATAAAAATATATCCGGTAGTGAAAGTGTGAAATCCAACTTCAGAAAGACTGCTCAAACGGTAGAGAATGTCACCAACACACACAGTTTGGGGCTGGTTCCCTTTGGTGTGTGGTTAGTCTTTCTGCAAGCTTTTTACAGTAAAGTATATAAAATACAAAGATTTACCTGACCAGTGTACCAACCATGTAATACAATGCATGAATTGAAGATTAACACTAAAATAAGATTTAATGTGATTAGTTTATCTGCAAGCCTTTTATAGTGAAGTTTATAAAATTAAAAATATAAAAAACCAGATACACCTGATCAATGCACCAAGCATGTGGTGCGGTGTATGAACTGATGGGCACTAAAATAAGAATATAAAGGCCAAGTTGCTTCCGTGACAGATTAAACATTTGGCAGGTTGAGCTTCAGGAACAAGGACACAGTGGCAGAGAATGCCGCCACATAGCCTGTTACTAAATCCCTGAGCTCGTGGGCAGTTTGGGCAGCACTTTGCTTGCTCTCAAGGTCGACTATCTCTGCCACACAGAGATCCAAGTGTAAAGTTCCAAGCAATGTCAGAGTTCCTGATGAACCATGGAAAATGCAAGCAGTGTGTTTACGTTACACCCACACTGTCACCCCTGAAAACGGCCCTGCAGATCAACCACCAGTGGATGTCCATTTCCGGCTTCCCAGACTGGGTTTAGGCCATTTCTCACTTTCTTCTGCCTTACTCGCTTTCAGAATAAAAATGGAAAGTTTCTTTATTAGCTGCTATCTGTGATCTCTGTAAGCAAAGGAAAGACCACACACACACACACACACACACACACACACACACACACACACACCTGAACACAGTTTAAGAGTGGAGTTGTGTGAAGAGAATTCTGAATGCCTGTGGAAAGAACTTGAAGAAAATGAGTCTTGAGACATTGGTTTCTTCAAAACCACGGAATTGTTCCTGGGATGTGTTTTTGTGCCCCTCCCAGGTGTATCAGATAGGAGCGAGTTTGTTTTAGATTACTATTACAGCTGGCTATTGTTATTTGTTTATATGTCTCTGAAAAAATATGGCTTTGCCATGTGCAGTTTGTCCTTGTGATTGGACACTTTACTCACGTGATTCTTTTTAACCCTCAGAGTATAGTCTGATGCCCTGCAGGACAGTGGTGGTGCATGCCTTTAATTCCAGCACTTGGGAGGGAGGCAGGTGATCTCTTTGAGACAGAGGCCAGCATGGTCTACAGAGTGAGTTTCAGAACAGCCAGAGCTACATAGAGAAAGCCTGTCTCAAAAAACCACACACATACACACACACAAATGTCTGATGCTCTGAATAAAAGTTGACTATTGCATGAGACTTTAGCCTGCTTCATTTTTAGGCTCCATCCTCCCAAGTTTATTACCAGCTAGAGTGATAAACACACACAGCACAGACAGACAAACAGACAGACAGACATGCCCTTCTGTGTAATATGGGCAGTATAGAACAGAAATCAATAAAAAATGACCTGTCCTTTCTAGATTTCTGGTATCACAAAATTACAGCTGCTATGCACACACACACAAATGAAAATCTAAAAATACAATGTTCAGGAAAGCTGCTACTAGAAACTATAACTTCTTGTTTTAAGTGTAACCCCCTGAAGGGAGATGTGGTACCTTGGCTGAGAATGCCCCCATAGGCTCATAGATTTAAATGCTTGGCCTCAGTTAATGGAACTATTTGGGAAGGATTAGGAGGTGTGGCCTTGTTGGAGAAAGTGTGGCACTAGGGGTGGGCTTTGGGGTTTCAAATGCTCAAGCCAGGCCCAGTATGTCTCTCTCTCCCTGCTGCCTGTGGGTCAGGATGTAAAGCTCTCAGCTACTGTTCCAACACCATGCTTGTCTGCTTCCCAACCTGATCGCATGGTTAACCCTGCATTCTACCACTGAGCCACAGCCTCAGCCCTTATTGTATCTTTTTTAGTTCGTAATATATTAATATACCTGTATAGAGATACTGTCTGTGAAACTCAGGCATATACTGAGAGTCTTGGAACTCGTCCCCCATGGGTAACAGGGGACCACCCAATAGTCTATCTCAGGCAAACACCAGTAAACAGGTAAACCTGATAGGAGTGGTTCAGAGCCGCCTTCTCCATCAACAATTCCCCAGCTGGCTCAGCGTGTGCTCTGCCGTCGAAGCTATGATCATCCTCTTAGGGACAACCAACCTCGGCACCCAAAGACTGCACCCAACAGTGACATCCTTAAAACAGATTTCACCCAACCATTTGCGTTCAACACTCTTACCTGCTGGTGTGACCTGAGATCACCGAAATTCACTTTCTTCCCCAAGTCTAGAATCACTGAGTTCTTAGTCTCCAGGATGTAATCGTCACTCATTGCCGGAGAAGCCTTTGTGGTTTTCTTCATCAGACCCTGGGGCGGTCTGTAAAAGAAATCCCCACCCTTATGAAATGACTAGTCAGTGTAGAGGTTGGAGTGGGTAAAATGACCACCTGACCTCAGCACTGTAGGTAGAGGCATTTTATTTTATTATTTTGAGACAAGATTTTATGTAGCCCAGGCTGGCCTTGAATTAGCTATGTGGTCAAGGATGATCTTGAACTTCTGATCCTCCCATCTTTGACTCTCAGCATTAGAATTGCAGGTGTGTAAACCACACACAGTTTATCAGATGCTGGGCACCGAACCTAGGGCTTCATTCGAGCTAGGCAAGTGCTTTACCAAACAAAACAAACTACCTTTTTTTTTTTTTTCTGGTTTTTCAAGACAGAGTTTCTCTGTAGCTTTGAGGCCTGTCCTGGAACTCGCTATGTAGACCAGGCTGGCCTCTAACTCACCGAGATCCACCTGCCTCTGCCTCCTGAGTGCTGGGATTAAAGGTGCGTGCCACCACCACATGGCTGAACTTCCTATTTTTAATTACCAAGCATTGTGGCACACACTTTTAATCCTGGCACTTCAGGGGCAGGTGAATCTTTGAGTTCCAGGCTAGCCTGGTCTACATAGTGAGTTCCAGGATAGCCAGGGTTACACAGAGAAACCCTGTCTCAAAATGAAAAAAAAAAAAAGAAAAAAAATCATGCCCCTTGCCCTGAGGCATTCAATATCCATTTTGTATCTATTTGATAAGATTATATCAGAATCCATTGGCTAAGAGTCCTGGCTCAGGCCAAGCTATTCTGGGCATGTGTCCCTCTTAACTGGCGTCTCCAAACCTTCAAGACACTTACACGGATGGTGCGCTTTTAGGCAGCCCCATGGCGTTGGTGGGTGGAATGGATGGGAGAGAAGGCAGGACAGAGCTGAGGAAAGCCACTGGGTTCTGAATCCGACCGGTAGGAGAGACGGGAGTTGGGGACACACAGTGAGGCTGAAACTGGTTTCCACTGGGGGTGGGATAAGCTAGCGGTGGTGGTGGTGGCGGTGCTGCCGGTTCTGCTGGGCCTGGTGGAGGAGGGGGCTCATTTTGGATGGAGAGCCCTGCTGGAGATCTGCCTTGCGTAGAGGGGTGAGACAGTAAAAGGCTTTCTTTACTGACCGTCCTCTGGATTGTCTGAGGAGTGTTACTCAGGGTGAAGACTGGGGAGCTGGATGGGGACACAGCTGCCGTGGAAGTGCTTGCAATGGGGAAGAAATGTTTCGGCCGGGCCAAGTTGAACGTCTGTGGTGCAGGACTCTTCACCTGCTTGCTGGAAATGGTCACTGCCGGGGCAGCCAGGGGAGCCGGGGGAGCCGGGGGAGCGGGGGGAGCGGGGGGAGCCGAGTTCAAGGCGCTAAAGTTGAAAGTGGACTCCTTGGGTGATGAAGGAGACGCATTTTGCAGTTGCTGCTGTTCCAGTAACACTTGGTGATGAAGCTGCTGTAACTGGGTGGAGTCACTGCACGAAAAACAGGGGAGAGAGAGAGAGAGAGAGAGAGAGAGAGAGAGAGAGAGAGAGAGAGAGAGAGAGAGAGAGAGAGAGAGAGAGAGAGCTGTTACCATCAGTCTCACCCTTCAGAAAGCCTACAGTCTGTCCTGGGGCGGTGTGGCTCGGTTGGGCGAATGCTTTCCGAGCATGCGCAGAACTCTAGGTTCAATCCCCAGGCATCCAGCACTCAAGAGGGTAGAGACACAGAGGTGAGAAGTCCAGGGCCATCCTCATCTACACAGTGAGTTTGTGATCAGCCTGAGCTACAGATGGCTATTTTTAGTTTGGGGGAGGGGAGGCACAAAGGAAGTAGGCGAGGGACAAAGAAATAGAAAGAGACAGAGAGAGCCTAAGTGGGAAGACACCACCTAATCGTTGCTAGTGAGCTGTGGCTTTTACCATTCCCTCTTCCCGAGGGAACCACAAACATTCTAGTCTTTGCTCCATGATACTGTAGCTGTACAATGTTTAAAATTGAAAAGTAAAAGAAATAGAGACAGTGTTACTCTTGCTAATATGTTTAAAGTTATGATGGTGTTGGCTCCTTCTCTGTTTAGACAGAAGGCATTTAGCTGTGCACAGGTGTGAGTCACTGTAAGCGCTGAATTCTCCAGAAGAACGTCTCCCTCTCCACCTGTGCAGGAATAACCCAGGGCTTGGTGTATGCTAAGCAAGTGCTCTGCCACCATCAGCCCTACCACACCACCATCAGCCCTACCACATCACCATCAGCCCTACCACACCACCATCCTCCACCATCAGACCTTCCCCAAAGTCAACCTTACAGAAGGAACCAAGTGTGCCCGAATGTTTCCCATCCTCTCCAGGCAAGACGTTGGTTTTTTGGTATTTTTGTCTGTTTTTTATTCTTTTGAGTCAGGTTTCTCTGTATAGCCCTGATGTCCTGGAACTCACTCTGTAGACCAGGCTGGCCTTGAACTCACAGAGATTTGTCAGGCAAGGTTTGTAGGTAAGATGATCCTATGTTCCTATTCATTCAAAGCAGTCTTGCTCCAAACCTTTTTAGCATTGTAATTATTATAGAGGTTAACTTTTACTCTTGAAAGTGTTCTCCTGCGACACTGTGTTTGGTGGGGGCATGCCTAAATCCTAGCACTTGAGTGTTTGATGAAGGAGGGTCAGGGGTTCAAGGTCAGCCTCAGCTACCTGTCCTTTCCTGCCAGGCCAGGCCACATGACATTATTTTAAAAACAACCACTACCATCAACAAAAGAAATGTCCTGATAAATTTTAGGCTTCTCTTGCTTATAAACATCACCTTTGACTTTTCTTGTTCTTAAAAAGAGAAAGGGGCTGGAGAGACGTTTCAGTGCATGAGAGAACCTGCTGTGCAGGTTTGAAAACATGGGTTCAAATCCTTAGCACCCATGTGAAAAAGATGGTGTGGCCGCACATAGCTATAATCCTGGCCCTGGGGAAGGAGGGCGGCAGGACCAGTGGGGCTTTCTGGCTGCCAGTCAAGTTCCAAGCTGAGTGAGCAACTGTGTTTCAAGGGAATAAGCAGAGAGAGACTGCAGGTAGCAATGTCTTCCTCTGGGCATAGGAATCCACACACAACACACGGACATACACCACACACAAACACACACACACTCACACATGACATATATCATCACGTGCAAGCACAACATGAGAAAGAACTCTGGAGACATGGGTGGTCTTGCAGCAGACCCAGGTTCAGATCCCAGCACCCACATAGTGGCTCACACTTGCCTGTAATTCCAGTTCTGGGGGATCCGACGCCCTCTTCTGGCCTCCAACAGCACCTGCACACATATGCTGCACATAATCACTCGCACGCACGCACACATTTTGAAAAAGAAGTCAATAGTCACCATGTTGAACCACAAGTTTCTTTAAAATCTTACACCTTAGCTGGACGGTGGTGGCACACACCTTTAATCCCAGCACTCTTAGGCAGAGGCAGGCGGAACTCTGTGAGTTCGAGGCCAGCCTGGTCTACAGAATGAGTTCCAGGACAGTCAGAGCTACACAGAGAAACCCTGTCTCAAAAAAAAAAAAACCCAAAAACCAAAAAACTTACATCTTTTTGGAGTGTTGGGGGTCAAACCCAGGGTTTCACAAATGTTAAGCATGTACTCTACCACTAAGCTGTACCCCCAAACCTTTGACTAGTCTTACTTTCTTTTAAAACAGAATCTTTAGTCGGATGATGGTGGCACATGTCTTTAATCCCAGCACTTGGGAGGCCCAGGCAGGCAGATCTCCAAGATCTGTAGGCCAACCTGGTCTACAGAGCAAGTATCAAGAAATCTTCACAGAGAAACCCTGTTTTGAAAAACAAACAAAAAAGTAACTATACATTTTCATTTCTCTTTTGTTTGTTTTTGTTCTTTTGAGGACAGACTCTTCCTTTATAGCCCTGGCTGGCCTGGAACTCATTATGTAGACCAAGCTAACCTCAAACATGTGGAGATGCACCCCTCTGTCCCCCAAGCACTGGGATTAAAGACAAGTGCCACTATGCTTGGATTTTTTTCATTTGTATATCATTGAAAGTTTACACAATTAGGAAGCCAGAAATGGGGCTGGAAAGATGGCTCAGTGGTTAAAGGCTGCCAGGTCTGATGATCTGTATTTGGTACCCGGGATCCATGTGTCTGGAGAAGAAACCAGACTCCCGGAAGCTCTCCCCTGATCTCCACAGGCATGCCATGGCACATATGTGCTCACGCTTATAGACACAAGTCCACATATATAAACAATAAATAACTGTATTAAAATTAAGGAGAAATATCTCTGCTGCATTTTCCTCAGTGAAGAATATAAAATAAACAGCTTCTACTGATGTTCGCTTTCTCGTGATAGGAAAATGCACAATCTTAACTTTTTAATTTTTTGAGACAGGGTCTCCTATGTGCTCCCAGCTAAGATGGAGCCCTCAGTTCCCCCTGCCTCAGTCCCCTGAGTGCTGAGATTACAAGTGTGCTGGCATCATAGCCTGTGGATTTTGAATTTTTGAGATTAAAGTATTAGACAGTCAAAATACAAGCCTGGGTATCAAGTTTGAAGGTGGTTTTAACAACAGTTTTGGATAGCGTGTGCCAGTGCCAACTCTCCCTGTTCTGAAGGACAGTTAGGATGAACCCAGTTCCAAGGACCTGCTCGGTGGCCTTCTCTTGGTGACCTAAAGTCACGTGAGAGAAGTTGGCAGACGCTAACTATTCAGACTCTCTCGCCCCATCAGTTGTTAAATGTTTTCCCAGCTGATCAGGATGACTGATTCTGAGCAGGCACACACTGCTGTACCTGTTCTGCTGGAGGCTGGTCATTTCCGTCACCCGGAGACTGCAGAACAAACCTGGCTGACTGAGGCGCTGATGCTCAGAGAGAGCTAATTCAACTAGGAAGGAGTCTAAACATGGTGATTTTTAAATATGGGTCAGCTGTTCTTCAATGTTAGCCAGCCTCAGAACCTGGTTAAAACACAGACTTCCAAGTTACGAAGGGTTTCTGATTCCACGGGTCAGGGAGCAATGCTGGGTGACTCCCCTATGCATACCATCGTGTGGAAAACGAACTTGTCTGCGGATAGAAAATGCTTACTTAACATTCAGAAATCCTAGGTTCAATTCCCAGCACCCCCTCAAAAAAGCTGGGTGTCATTGGGCACACCTGTGATCCCAGCCAGAAGGAAGAATCAAATGGTCATCTTGGGCTACACAGAAAAAGCCTTCAAAGCCAGCCTTGGCTACATGAGACCCTGTCTCAAAATAATCTCAACAAAAAGACACATTTGTCCCCAAAGCATGGGTTTTCTGCTTTCTAACTTTTGTCTGACAGTTGACTTTTTTGTTTTTGTTTTTATCCTGGACATGGAAGGGTGAAGAGGAGGAGGAGCAGCAACTCAGGTTATGTCTCTAATTCTGGATCGGTGGCTTCCAAACAGGCTGCGCACTAAAGGAATCTGTGGAGCCTCTGATTCAATCAAGTCGGGGGCACGGATAGGTTTTCAGAAGCACTGCTTCGGACCACTTGGTATTCCAGCTGCAAACTCCAAAGGAAGAATGATCTTGACTCTAAGTAGACAGTGCTGAAAAATGACAGCCTTCATTGCTGCCGCAGTTTCAAGACCAACATTGCCGGACAATTGTGGCGCACGCCTTTAATCCCAGCACTCAAGCGGCAGAGGCAGGCGCTCTCTGTGAGTTCAAGGCCAGCCTGGTCTACAGAGTGAGTTCCATGGGAGTAGGCGGAGTCAAGGAGATGCCATGTAGCTGCCAAAGGAGAAAGATACCACATGCCAGAACCTTACCAGTAGGCTACAGCCTCGTGACAACACACAGGTTAATAGAAATGGGTTAATTTAAGATGTAAGAGCTAGCTAGAAATATGCCTAGCTATTTCAAATGAGCCATTGACCCAACAGCGTTGTAATTCATATAGTTTCCGTGTGATTATTCAAGTCTGGGCTGCCGGGAACGAATCAACAGTCAGTCTCCTTTGATACACGGAAGGCACACGGGCACTCACAGTTTTTCTATTTTTACTTACAGTTTGGGTTTGGCCAGGACCGGAGGGGGCTCTTTGACAGGTGAGGAAGGCTCTGGGGTCCTGGCTTCCTGTCCGTTGAACCTCTCAGGGAAGGAGTCGGGCCTAGTGTGGCTGGCGTTGGCCGCTCCACTGCCAGAGGGGGCATCGCTGTCTTTGTCATCCTCGGGCAGGTTGAAGTGCACCCGTAGCCCGATCCTGGAGCTGGAGCGGGGCTCGTTATGGTTCACCAGGACGCCTTCAAGCTTGGGCTTTGGGGGCTGTTCCTCAGAACGAGGCTCTGGGTTGGGTGGGGAGGGCTGTTGCTCAGCCACAGCCAGGGTGGTACTTGAGTTTGTGGAGTGAAGGGCCCCGTTATCACTGCCGTCTTCATTTCCTGAAAGGACAATTAGATTAACTTGAGCTGAAGGCCACCAACAGGACTGAGCTGGAAGTGTCACCTTGAGCTAGGGCATACGGACGAGTAGGAACATATCAGTCCATGGAAACGCACATCAGGAAGATGCTTCCCAAGAGCTTTCAAAAATGGTGAAGATGTTCGGGAAACTGAATTGAATATCCGAGTACACGGCTGGACATGTAGTGCTGCGGACTACAGGTTTGGTTTATTCGAGGATGTGGGCTTGATTCTCTGAGTCCCTGCCTCTAGAATCTAAGCATTCTGTGTTTTATTTTGCTTTGTTTTGTTTCAAGACAGGGTTTCTTTGTGTAACAGCCCTGCCTGTCCTGGAGCTCATTCTACAGACCAGGCTGGCCTCGAACTCACAGATATTTCTTTGCCTCTGCCTCCCGAGTGCTGGGATTAAAGGTCTGTGCCACCACACCTGGCTCATTCTGTGTTTTACATATCTGTGTGTGTGTGTGTGTGTGTGTGTGCGCATGTGTGTTTTACACATGTGGTGGCCACAGGACGACTTCAGGTATTCATGGCCGTGGAGTTCTAGCGATCTCTTTCTCCCAGGGCAGTGATTACAAGCATAGGCTGCCATTCCCGACTTTTGCACGTAGATTCAGGGCACTGAACTCAGACACTCGAGCTCGTGAAGCAAGCACTTCACCTACTGAATTACCTTCCAGCCCCTAGAAGTACTCTTAAGAATCTGAGAGGTTTATATAAGGCCACAGAGCTGCTTTCTCGGGAGCTATGAAGAAATATCAGGGCCACTGAGGAGGCTGTGGCTGCAAGGGTAGTACGAACTTGAAAACTGAACATTGTTCATAAACGTTTCTTGGAGATAGGGTCTCACGTATCCTAGGCTGCCCTTGAACTCACTCTGTTGCCAATAAACCTTGAGCTCCCGATCCTGATCCTCCTGCCTTCACGTTCCCAGTGCTGGGATTACAGGTATATACCTTATGGTCTGGTTTATGCAGTGCTGGAGAAAGAACCCAGGGCTTTGTGCTTGCCAAGCAAGCACTCCACCAGCTGAACTATAATCTCCAGCCACAAGAATGTTTTTCTTCAGATTGTTATTCTTTTATTTTTGTGCATGTGTGTATACAGTCATGCAGGCATGCCAAAGCAGGAGAGGGGAGGTCAAAGGACAATTTGCTGGAATCAGTGTTCCTCTGGCACTGTGCAGGTCTCAGGGACTGAATTCAATCAGTCAGGCTTGGTGGGAGGGACCTTTACCTGCTGAGCCCAGAGATACTTTATTTTAGGTGTGAGTGCTTTGCCTGTACGTTTGTGCATGCCCCACACATATGCAATGCCCGTGGAGGCCAGAAGAGGGTGCTGGAGAGCCTGGTTCTGGAGTTAACAGATGTCTGTGAGGCTGCACCGTGAATGTTGGATGTTGGACCTTGGTCCTCGGGAAGACTAGTCGGTGCTCTTCTTAACTGCTGAGTCATTTCTCCAAGCTCCAATTTAAATTTTTGTTTTCAGTCAATCTTGCACTTTATTGCCTTTCCACATAAGGCTTTGACCACACACTTACACAGCAGGTAATCTAAATCTTTATGATCCATACATGAATCAGAAAGAAAGATACTCTGAACTGGGCATTGGTGACACATACCCTTAGTCTCACTACTCAGGAGGCAGAGGCAGGCGGATCTCTGTGAGTTTGGGGCCAGGCTGGTCTACAGAGGACAGCCAACGCTACCCAGAGAAACCCTGTCTCAACAAACAAAAGCAAAAACCAGACTTTGAAGTTGCCACTCCCAATCTAACCGCTAGGGAGCGCTCACCTCTCACGTCCAACTGGGCGATGCTGGACACGGTGCCGTATTTGTTGCTTGCGGTGCATGTGAAGCATCCGGAATCTTCCGAAAACACCTCAGCAATGACTAAAGTGCAGATCTCCTCTGTGTGCCAGTAAGACAGAAAAGTTAACGACCTAGTCGCGGAGACGGAGCTGTGAGACTAAATGATATCAAATGGCGGTTCTATAAACGTTGACATAAGGGGCTGACTTCATTGGTTCTTTGAAAACAGCTGCACCGGCTAACTATTGGAGCAAACTGACCGGTTAGGAGGCTGAAAGAGTCCAGATACATAAACCAATGGCTCATGTTGACTGGCTGGGTACTGACAAGAGGGTTTGGAGATAATGCGTTGCATATAACACAGGGGAACCCTCTAACGACTGAGCTACTCCTGATTCCTTATTCTCTTCAGCATTTGCCAACGAGGACGAACCAAGACCAATGGTTACCCATAATACACACTCTGTTTCCATGTCATCAATGCAGATGACAAAAATTAACTAACAATTAACTAATAAGAAGTCACAAAAACACATGGGGAGGTCGAAGGGAAAGGAAGTGTGTGTGTCACAGAAAAATTAATGAAACAGTTTTCCGAACCCCAGCATCTTGTTAGTTTCATGGGGAAAATTCACAGTGAGATCAGTTAAAACAAAGACCACAGTTTAAAATTGGGCAAAAGGGCTGGGGTGGGGGAGTGCATCTCGGTGAGGTCCTGGATTTGATCCCCAGCAGAGGCTGCTTTGTTTAAGCAGTAGCAATTTGCTGATAGGGAGAGGAGATGGAAGAGCCATCTCCCTTTGGAATGCCATGGTCACACCCATGGATCAGCCTGATACATAGCATTGAGTCTTGAGAGTGACGATATAGGTAATTCTCAGATATGACTAGATCCTAAAATTAATATAGTTAGATGTTTTTGAAAGATAAAGATGAACAGGGTCATTAAAACAAAATTACCAAAACAGCTGTGCTAGGGGAAGCTTGGCATCTCAGGACTTCATGCTGACTGATTTAAGTCAACTAGAACCCTCCAAGGCAGCGGTTCTCAACCTCTGGGTTGCAACCCCATTGGGGGTCAAATGACCCTTTCACAAGGGTCACCTCCGACTATCAGAAAACACGGGTATTTATGTTATGATTCAGAACAGTAGCAAAATTACAGTTATAAAGTAGCAATGAAAATAATTTTATGATTGGGGGTCACCACCACACGAGGAACTGTATTAAAGGGTCGCAGCATCAGGAAGGTTGAGAACCACTGCTCTAGAAGAGACTTCCCAGGAGGCCACGGCAGGCAATGCTGGTTAGTCCTTAGGTCTTTACTATATGCCCTATGCTCTAGCGTAGGTATGCAATACAGATGTTCTATGCTTCCTTCTGGAATGTCTTTGCTGTTAGAAGAGAATCGCAATGGAATTGCCAACCAGCTCCTCACCCAGAGCTACAAAGACAGCCTGAGGGCTCCGGTCTATAACGACTCACAGGCAAATGCCTCACGGCTCTGGCTTCCGTTTCAGCGCTCTCCCAAAACAGTTCAAGAAGCAGCACCGGCGTTATAGTTAATCTCAGTACGTTCCTGAATCTGATCCATAAATTATTTCTTTGTTTTGTTTTGGCTGGTTCTGGGGTTCAAACCCATGGCTTTGAGTAAGCTAGGTGAGTGTCCTCAATAATCAATATTCCCAGCCTCTCGTCTACTAAGTTTGAGAGACACAAAAGCTGAGGAATTGGACATCAAAGAAATTCCAAGCCCCCTTTCAAGGAGGGTATGAAATGAGTGTGTGGGGGGTGGTCACAGGGAAAACAGCCCCGGGAACACAGAAAATTAACTATACTAGTATCAGATATTAAATTGATATGCAAATTTGCGCATAACCCTTCTTCCCCCCTTCTACAATAACAGCTAGAGTTCATTTGGATCTTTCTAGAACTTTTTATTTTCACCTTTTCTTGACTGCTTTCACACTTTTAGAATGATTACGTTTCCACATCTGTGTATCTCAAACCACTCATCACACGTTAGTAAGTTAGCGCTGAGACGAACTTTACCTGGCTCTGCCATGGACCGAGGTTCTAAAGGGAGAAAAAACAAAAGGTCGTGAGCGTCTACTTTACTGGGAAGCTGCGTTTCCTTCAGAAGCTTCCGGTAGAGTCTCGGTGTCTGGCTTACTTGAGGGTGAAGGGATAAGGACAATCTGTCAAGGTTAAGTAATAACCTGAATACAGGTGACCTCAATAAGGTCACAGAGGGACAGCTGGAGGCTGCTAAGTGATGCTTCAGTGAACATGAGCTTCAGACCCCCGGGCAGGGAAGAATGCCAAAGGGATTCAGAAGGGCTAGTGTCTGTCTGTCTGTCTGTCTGTCTATCTATCTATCCATCCATCCATCCATTCATCCATCTATCTATGCATCTACCATATATGTATGTATCTATCTATCATCTATGCATGTATGCATGCATGTATCTATCTATCTATCTATCTATCTATCTATCTATCTATCTATCTAT